GCAATTATGACTTTGGTACTTTTCATACTGTTTCTTTAGTGTTTTGTTCTAGAAGTCAGATTTTTTTTTTCAGCGTTCCAAAATTAATTGTTTATGCACCACACGCAGTGCTCCATGCAACCTGTGCCCTCCATAATACCCACCATCAGACTCACCCAACCCCCCACCCCTCCCCTCCAAAACCCTTGGTTTGATTTTCAGAGTCCACAGTCTCATGGTTTGTCTCCCCGTCCAATTTCCCCCATCTCACTTCTCCTCTCCATCTCCCCATGTTCTCCGTGTTATTCCTTGTGCTCCACAAGTAAGTGAAACAATATGATAATTGACTCTCTCTGCTTAGAAGTCAGATTTCTATAGCCAAACCTCCTTTAGCTATGTGCCTTACCTAAAACTAAATATAATCCCATATCTTTTGATGACTCAGAGAAACCAGCCTTTCTCCTTAGACTTCAGTTGAGCCTAGGAAAGGTGATGTTGTGGGGTGGGGGAGGTGTCTCAGCAACAGATTTGGGGTGGGGGGGAGACTTCTGTTTCTGAAAATATGGTGAAGCAGATACTCTCAGAACCCTCTCACCACACACCTGTACAGAATTTATTTTTATTTTTAATCTCTAAATAGCTGAGCTAGCAATAAGTTCTCAGGGAATTTTTGAGAGGCAAAAGCAACCAGAGAGCTCAAATCTAGATAATCAGGAGCTATGGGGCGGCGTTTGCACTGAGGACATTTGTCAAGCCCCTGAAGCCGAATGATTTCTGAGCTGTGACCCCACATGGTGGGAGCTTTGGTCCAGACCTGGAAGGAAAACATAGAACCCAGAAGGAGCCCCATTCCCTGAAAGGGTGAACTTGACAAAAACTATGCCTCCTGGGAAGAGGAAAGCTGCGTGACTGGGTGCTGGCTCGGGTTTGTGGGGCGGGTCTTCTCTAACAGTCCCATCTCACTTAAGGTGGGAACAAACAACTCGCATTACCTTTGTGGCTAGAGACAAGCAACCCAAGAGTCTAAAGCCAACACCAATGAAGGAAGAACACAACTTTCCCCCAGGCTCCAGTGCTCCCAGATCCAGCTCTGAGAATCACGGGGTCATAATCAAGTATGTAAGGATACTGCCCCCATGAGGAGAAGCAGTAGAAACTAGACCCGAGAGTCAGACTTGAAGACTTGGAATTAATCAGATGCATGGTATGTGAGTACATTGACGATGAAGAGATGAAACAGGACTGAGGACCAAGAGACTTTAAAAAGTGACCAAGAGGGGCGCCTGGATGGCTCAGTTGGTTGAGCGACTGCCTTCGGCTCAGGTCATGATCCTGGACTTCCAGGATCGAGTCCCGCATCGGGCTCCCAGCTCCTTGGGGAGTCTGATTCTCCCTCTGGTCTTCTCTCTCATGCTCTCTCTCACTCATTCTCAAATTAATAAATAAAATCTTTAAAAAAAAAAAAAGTGACCAAGAGGATCCGGACAACAAAAACCTTGTAGAAAATAACTTTTTTTTTTTTAAGATCTTTTAAATTTATTTGATGGAGAGCAGAAGAAGCAGGCTCCCTGCTGAGCAGACTCCCCCGCTCATATGGGGCTCCATCCCAGGACTCTTGAGATCATGACCTGAGCTGAAGGCAGACATTAACCCATGGAGCTATACCCAGGCACCCCAATAGTTGACGTTTCTATAACTTTCATTCCTCGGGCTTTTGGCCTTTTTCTGGAGCTTTTCTACTTCACCTTCTGACTCCCTTGGTGGTGTTCTAATCCAGTGAACCTCTTTCTCACTCACTGTTTGGCTGGCCGCTCACCTGACAGTAACCCCTTGCCTGTGGCCCCATGTGATGCCCCGGGATTTTCTTGTGTTCCTGCTAACACTCAGCCCCTCTCCTCCAGCTTTTGGCCCCCTTGATGCCTTCAGCGTTTCTTTTGCATCCTGTTTCTCAAGTCGTGCTTTCTTTTCCCTCTCCACCATGGCATCAAAATTCAGACTATTAAACAGAGTCATCACTGACCATTAAAAAATCCCAGTCCTCCCTGTTTTATCTGTGCATTGGAGAATTTAGGTGAATTTGTTGACAATTTATGAAGTTCTGCTTTCCCCAAAAGAGCTGTATTTGAGTTACCTTCTTGAGGTTAAAAGCTGCCAAATTACTAGATGATTTGAAAGCTGTGCAGTCTAGGGGCACCTGGGTGGCTCAGTGGTTTAAGCCTCTGCCTTGAGCTCAGGTCATGGTCTCAGGGTCCTGGGATTGAGCCCCGCATCGGGCTCTCCACTCAGCGGGGAGCCTGCTTCCCCCTCTCTCTCTGCCTGCCTCTCTGCCTACTTGTGACCTCTCTCTCTCTCTGTCAAATAAATAACCTTTTTTTTTTTTTTAAAGCCATGCAGTCTGAAGTTTCCTGCTAAGCCTTTAATGCTTTGGACATTCTTCACCTGGTGTCCAGCTGCACTTTAAAAAACTCAGGCACTGAGTGCCCAGCGTCCAAAGTCTACCCCTCAAGGAGCATGCTAGCCAGAAGTCCACGTGAGAACAGTATAACGCAGACCCAAAACACAGTCCCATCTACAAAAGCAGTCTACCTTCCTGCGCATTTATTAGGAGCTCTAGAAGTGAAGTGGTCAGATGCCCCAGGCTTTGAAGAAAAAATTCATCCAAAATACCGTTCTCAGTAGCGTTTGTTGAGAGAAGGGAGAAAATTATCTCATTAGAGTCTCGGACTCAGTTCCCTTGAACTGCAGCTGTTTCAACCTTCAGTCAGCGGGATGATACGAAAGCCACCTAATTTCCTGGAATAGCAAACTCTTGGAATATTTGTGCACAGGAGGACACGTTCGCCTAAAGAAGTAAATACAAATGGATTGCAGCAAAATGTCTAAGGGCTTTCATTCAGTAAAACGACAGGGCCAGATAGGAGACTGAGAAGCCAAGCCCCTCATTCACAAAATTCAAAACTAGGAGTCTGTGTAAGCGTGAGTCTGTTTCCTTTCGGGACCAAATCTGAGGCTTTTGTGACTTCATTCTGTTTCTTAATTTAGGTTGTTTCTCCTAAATAAGTAAATAAGATGTGCAAATTACAGCATTCTAGCCTATATTGGGAACTCAAGGGTCAGCCCTTCAGTTGTGGGAAGGATCACTGTCAGGAGTTTGTGGAGATGGTGGGAACCGTCCAGACTGGACCTTGTGCGAAGTCTAGCTTTCTTCTGAGAGGCTTGGGTCTGGATTCTGCCTCAGTCCCATCACCGTGTGACCTTGAGCAAGTTTGTCCATCCTTTTTACTTCTTTTCAAATATATGTGAAGGTGCATTATACAATTTTTTAAAAAAACAATGATTGCCAGGAGCTGGAGTCCATCAGAGGGATGAGGAGTGACTGCTAGTGGGTATGGGTTTCTTTCCAAGGCTATCAAATCTTCTCAAATTAGGTAGTGCTGATGGTTGCACAACCCTGCATATACCAAAAACAAAGAAAAAAAAAACACTGAATTGTGCTCTTTAAAAGGGTGAATATTGTGGTACGTGAATTCTATCTTAATAAAGCTGTTGTTTTTGTAATTTGATGTCAAGAGTACAATATAATGAATTTCCATGTAGCCATCACACAGACTCCCCAGCCAGCTACTCATAGCTCATCTTCTTCTACCTATACCTCTAGCCACTTTCCCCTCTCCTGAATTATTTTGAAGCAAATCTCAGATCTTTATCTGTCAATATTCCAGTATGTATGCCTGAGAGATAAGGACTTTTTAAAACAAAATCAGGACATAATTACCACGAAATAGACACAGAAGCCTCAAATTGAGGTTAATGGATTCCCACCCTGGAAGCCTGAACCTCAGCCTGAGCCCAGCAGTACCTGCATCTTCCTCATCTGAGATGCAGAACGACCCACGCCCACCAACACAGACATGCAGTTTAGGGCCAGAAGAAAGGAGGTAAGAGACACGCCCCGGCAAAATGTCCAGATTCACATTTAACAACATGGACATCACGTGCCATTTTGTCCAGGCCTTTGCCTGCCAAGCATTACCCACTGTGCGGCTTGCAGGAGTACCGCTCTCATGATTCGTCCTATCTGTCAAGACCAACGGGATAAAATCCGTCGGCTAGTCCAGGCTGTCACTCAAAACCTCAGCCCTTGTGACTCATTGCTCTTCCATCTGACCCCGCTTCGTTGCCTTAAATGGAACTTGCTAATTCCATCTCTTTTTTTGCATATTCATGGCGTTGCAGCTGGGAGCGATTTCTGCCTCTCTACTGATCTGCCCCCCGCCTCTCCTATCCTACCTTCCTCATGAAACCTTCCCTCAGTTACTCCCCATTCTCCCGTCTCTGTCGTCCCCTCTATGAATCTCCGCTTTGAACTTGCTGCTAAGCCAGCTCGTGTTCTCATCCTGTGGGGTCGTCGTTCCCTCCCTGTTGATCTGCTCCCATGTGTGTCACGTCAGTCACTTGGCCCCAGGAGTTAACTTCCAACAATGATAACAATTTAAAATATGAATTGTCTCAGCCAGAAATCAGCCGGCTATTTCCAGTAAATCCTTCCTGGTGCTCAGATGTGGGAGCGCTGACTACACAGGGGTGGATACCCAGCAGACCAGGCAGTGAGGGCCATAATGGCAGGAAGGTAGCAACAGGGAGAGACAAACTGTTGGAGGTGTAACCTGAGCCAGGCTCAGAAGAATGGGTACCAGTTCATGGTACTGTGACTGTGCCTAGCAAGTCTTCCCTGTATGTCCTCTCTGAACGTTTACTCTGAATTCAGGGAAAGTAAAAATACTTAGCAGGTAATGCTGAACTGCACTGAGCCAATGCTGTGGTTTCAAGTTCAGATGATGGGTGGGTGAGATTTAAGAGACAATTTAAGAGATAAGAGAAAAGTGCTCAGCAGAGAGCCCCGGTAAAGAGTCAGCACTCAGAAATGTTCATCATGAAGTTTTGTGAGCCAAGACCAGGAGGTGGGCCTGGGTGGGCTGGTGAGCAAGGAGCAGTATGTATCAGAGGAGAGATGAGTCGGGACGGGGTCCTTTAGGGCATCCCCCTTGACTTGTTTTCTCCCAGCTGTTTGTGGGGCAAGTTTAGGAAGCAGGAAGGAAGGGAGGCTGACCACGATCACAAATTTGGCCTAGCGGCCTCTAATCAGAAAAATGAACTTGCTCTGTCTGGTGGAAGTTGTTCATAGTGTTTGTGGGGACGAGAATGCAGAGCGTTCATACGCTGAGCTTTCAAAGTAGGAACTTCACCCTATAAAGCAGAAGAGCGTTTTGTTTTTTTTTTTCATCTTTTGTGGTTTCACATAGCTTAAGTGTGACAATCCCTACTTATAGACCAAGTGAGAGGCCAGGCATTGAGGAGTGAGTGTGGCCTGGATTTCTGTCCCCTCTCCATCATCCCTTTTATTTTACTCTTATCGTGCTTTCCAGAAAGTTTGCCTGCTGGGAGAATCGTTTTGACAGTTTCCCGTGTTGCCAGATAGCTCCACAGAATTCAGTTTCTGAGAACAGGCCAGAGGCCTGCAGTGACATTGCATAATCCTCTTCTGAAGCCGGAGATATCAGCCGGAGAGCTCACGGGAGCTGTTTCACAGCAAGATGAAAGGAGCAGGCATCATGGATGGTATGCCCAAGGTGAGTGATGGGGACTGTTTGGAGGGGCAGGGGGTGAAACACCCTGTTATGGTTAAGGACAGTGACCGATTTTCACTCCAAGTTTCTAATGAAGTTGAAAGGTAAATAGTAGTAACATGTGAGTTTGAGATGGAGAAGTTTAACTAAGTCTAAGTGTGGAAAATATATGTGTTCTAAAGCCTCTGACAGTTTGATTCAGAGATGGATGAAAATGACTTCCTAGCAGAAGCCAGATTGTGGGGTTGATGATACAACCCACCCATCCCTTTGCGTCCATTCACCTTCTAACAAACTTCTCGAGCAAGAGGTGAGTCTCAGCCTCCGCCCATGCTGACCTCCCTTCTCTCTGGACCCTGCAGACTATTAATGTCACTCCCAGGCGTCCTGGTTGATTCTGTGTTCCTTCCCAAGAGCAGAGTCTAGATCTGCCCTCAGCCTCCGGTGAGCTGGTTCCCCAGGGAACATTCTGTGCACTAATTCCCGAGAACTTTTGTACTGATATGTAATGAGTGGGGCTCAAGTCTGTCATGAATCAAAAAAGATTCACTATTTAGAAAGTTGTGTTGGCTGCTTTAAAGGAAAAACAGCTGGGACACAAGGAAAACGAAGCTCAAGGATGATCTTGCTACACCTTTTTTAAAATGTGAAGTAGAACAGGAAAAAAATGAAACAGTTACTAAAGGGGAAGCTTGTTTATATGAATTACAAATATGTTACTTAGTATTAAAATAATAACAATGGATGTCACCAGTGGAATTTACTGCTGAGTAACCTATGATGGCCTCACTCATATGGATTGTGTGTAAATATTTAAGGAACCCTGGAATTTTATACACAACTATTTTCTTTGAAAAAATTTTAAACCTTTAGAAAACTGGGGGGGGGGGGTAATTCAGTAAATCCCTGCGTAGCCTTTACCTAGATTCACTGATTCCTGGCACTTTGCTACATTTTTCTGCCTCTCCTTGCGTGTATTTACAGAGGTATGTGCACACTTTGTTGTTATTGTTACACCATTTGAAAACCGATTGTGGGCATAAGGACATTTCACCCTAAAGGATGCTTCACATCAATATGTATCTCTTAAAAACAAGGACATTCTTCTGTACAACTCCAATCTGATCACAGGCAAGAAAATCTAACGTTGAATTAATAATGTCCTTCTAACACTAAGTCCATACCAGCAGCAGTAGGGCAAGAACCCATGTTTTCAACTCCTAGTCCAGAGGCAACCTCAGCTCAGGGACGCCTACAAAACATATCAATGCACTTATGATATAATATACTTATTTAAAGGCTTTCTACAAGTAAGAGCACTAATGGAACAACTGTTGAGCTTCTCACCTTTTACAATGAGCAATACCTATTAGAGTTCCATTTATTTTGGCACAGTTGATCTCCTTTGTTAATTAATTGCTTTTTATTAGAGGGACACCATGCAGTCAGGGGGCATACCATGTAAGTGGTTCTCAGCTTTCAGTGCATTTGGCTTTGAAGCACCCTCAGGTTCATCGGGGGCACCGTGGAATGCCTCTCATACCCTGAAGGTGGCCTGCAGACAGTGGGGGGTGACCATGACTGCCTCTCATGCTGTCCCCTGGTGCTGCTGCTTGTCACCCAACTGTTCCATGTCAGTAGAGTCTTCGCCTTTGTAACCAGCAGCCTTTGTGTAGTTGTCTGACTTTGATTAGGTTTTCCCTAATTCTCACATAAAACAAAAAGAAAAATGGAAAGTAAGTAAGATGATATTCGTCTCAGGAAACTTGGGGAGTGGTACATTTGCAACAGAGGTAGTAGCTCGTCATGGGTGGCAAAGTGCTGCATCTAACACGTCATTCGTTGGCTTACTGGACAGCAGCTGGTTGCCTCCATGTTCAACTCCATTCACGAAATGCTGGAAAGTGAGGTCTAAAAGGGTGAATAAGTGATTTTATTATATGTAAAGCCTTGTTTGGGATTTCGGGTAGTTTTACAAGTGCCTTATTTATGAAAACAGAGTTTGCGTGTACTTAAGTGACGGGGTCCCGTGTGTTACAAATTGTATTCACTTCTGAGTGTGTGTGTGTGCCCATGCACACCATTAGAGCTGATGTTGAAACTGGCATCTTTGGGTACAGACATCTTTGTCTCACTGGAACTCAAGGAGAGTCAGATAAGCATGGTATTTGTTTTCCTTCACTTTCTGAGAATTTCTGAAATTTGATTCTATTTTATACCTACTTTCTCACAGTATTTTCTCTACGACCTGCACTTTCTCTCTTCTGTCAATATGGCTGTAGGCTCACTTGGTTTTCTGAAAGGAATTTTCAGACAAGTGTCTTTCCCCCGTTTCTGAAGGGTGGTTGTCCAGAGAACTGATCAAAATAATACTTAGGTTTCACGCACATTTAAGTGTTCTTAGATGTCCTTAACATTTCAGGTTCCACCTCAAGTAGAGAGCAAATATCCTTTAGCCCTCTGCCATCCCAATTCTGGGTGGAGCCGTCCTCCAGCCCCTCAGGGAAGGGCTCGGTAAAGATCGCCAACATTCCCAGGGCTTGTCTAGACACAGGCAGGCCCAACAGCTAGGCGGTGCGTCTGTCGCTTGCCCAGACTGAGCGTGCCTTGGTGCCTCCGGGCAAGAGCATTGGGGATGTCACTTGCAGGCGGGGAGAATTGCAGGCTCTCCTTGTGCCTTTAGGACCTCTGAGGTGGGAAGCAAGACATTTTAACTCAGTCTTTGTTGAGGAATGGCAGCAGGAATGTGTGCAGAGAACTTACTACGGCCACAAGGCCAGCCTGACCTCCTCCCGCCAAATCCCCCACCTCACTGCCTCCCCTTCCCCCGCCTTGAGATGCTCCATCTGGGGGCTGGATGCCTTGGGGCTTCCCCACAAGCACCTTCCACAGTCACTCACTCACTCACTCACTCGCTTGACCCCTCTCTGGACCTCCCCACCCAAGGCACCTCCCCAGCCACACCCTCCCTGGTCATTCTCAGCTTCCTCCTCCTCTTCATTTATCAACGTCTGAAATCATCTTTCCCAATTGTTTCTCCCTTTATTCATCATCTGTCATCCCCTCTGGAGCGTCAGCTCCACAAGAGACAGACCTGGGCTTTCTTTATTCTTTATTTTATTTTATTTTTTCAGTGTTCCAACATTCATTGTTTATGCACCACACCCAGTGCTCCAGGCAATATGTGCCCTCCTTAATGCCTACTACCAGGCTCACCTAAACCCCCTTCCTGCTCCCCTCCAAAACCCTCAGTTTGTTTCTCAGAGTCCATAGTCTCTCATAGTTCATCTCCCCCTCCGATTTCCCCCAATTCACTTCTCCTCTCCATCTCCCTATGTCTTCAGTATTATTCCTTATGCTCCACAAGTAAGTGAGACCATATGATAATTGACTCTCTCTGCGTGACTTATTTCACTCAGCATCATCTCCTCCAGTCCCGTGCATGTTGATACAAAAGTTGGGTATTCATCCTTTCTGATGGAGGCATCATACTCCATTGTATATATGGACCATATCTTCCTTATCCATTCGTCCGTTGAAGGGCGTCTTGGTTCTTCCCACAGTTTGGTGACTGTGGCCATTACTGCTATGAACATTGGGGTACAGATGACCCTTCTTTTCACTACATCTGGGTCTTTGGGATAAATATCCAGTAGTGCCATTGCAGGGTCATAGGGAAGCTCTGTTTTTAATTTCTTAAGGAATATCCACACTGTTTTCCAAAGTGGCTGCACCAACTTGTATTCCCACCAACAGTGTAAGAGGGTTCCCCTTTCTCCACATCCTCTCCAACACATGTTGTTTACTGTCTTATTGATTTTGGCCATTCTAACTGGTGTAAGGTGGTATCTCAGTGTGGTTTTGATTTGAATCTCCCTGATGGCTAATGATGATGAACATATTTTCATGCATCTGATAGCCATTTGTATGTCTTCTGGGCTTTCTTACTGAGGGCTGGGCCTCCAGTGCCTACAGCAGTGCCTGCCCATAGGTGCCCAATAAACATTTTGAGTATGTGTGTGAATAAGTGGGAGGTCACAGAGAGTGCAGATGGAACACTTGCAACATAGCCCTGCCCTGCCACAAGGTCAGAGATAGTACTTCCTAGTTGTCAGACACCTGGGAACTGAGGCCACCATGACTCTAAGCTCCCTAACCCCTACCTGCCCCCAGCCTGACCCACTCAGCCTAGACTCTCGAGAACTGGCCCCCTTCTCACTCCCATGGTCAGATGTTGCCTTAGATCTGAGCCTTTGCAGCTGAAGTCAAGGTCACAAGGACCTGCAGCCTCCCCATGACCTTGTCCAGCAGTTCCATCCCTTTACCTGCCTCACAAGGCAAAACGTCCCAGATATGACAGCCAGCTTGAGAACACAATTCATTGTCCACCGTTTAGCCATCTACCCAGCAATGGGATCCAATGTAGTTATTGGATCCTGGGGTTTGGATGATCAACACAGAGCTGATATTCTAGTAGGGCCAGAAAGTCAGTAGATGAGTAACTGGACACAATGATTTCAGTGGTGATAACTGCCATGAAGAAAATAAAACAAGGTGATCTGATAGAGGTGATGGATAGAGAGGGCCTCCCCGGAGACCTGCACGATGGCAGAAGCATTCCAGGCAGAGAAGACAGCAAAGGCAAAGGCCCTACAGCGGGAAGAGATTTAGCCTGTTGGAGGATCCGTAAAAAGGCCAATGTTGTTGGGGCAGAGGGACAAGGAAAGAGAGTGGGCAGAAATGAGATTGGAGGGAGAAGCAGGGTCACGTTCACTTGGGACCTTGTTGGTCCTGTGAGATCTTTGAGGTGCATTCTAACTGCAAAGGAAGCCACTGGCCTATTTAAAGAAGATGACATGGTCTGATTTATGATTCTAAGACATCACTCAGGCTGCTATGCAACAAATGGATGTTGGCCAAGAAGAGCAGAAGCGGGGAATGAGTCAGGAGACGAGGGCGGGTGGTCTCTCCTTCCATTTTGCAGGCCACCATGCTGTTCTCAG